ATAATTCGTGACACTGTGACACACGGTATACTTACTTACCTAAACTAAACTTGCAAGGTCGACTGACACACAAAAATGAATATTGAGACAACTTTATTTAGCTATTATTCAACTTACTGCTTTACGTAGGTACACAATATTTATTGCTTTTTTCCATATTATAGTAATTTAGTAGGACTTACTTACTGTTCATCTATATATATAATAAAATGGTTGGAAAGTCAAAACTGTACATTGAATATATACAATCGATACTGAAGCCAAAAATATAGTTTTTAGATTTTTTGTCTGTTTGTCTGTATGTATGTCCGGGATAAATATTATTTAGAAGTCGGGTCAACATAAAGGCTACATATCACGAAATTCCACCCCTAAGGGGGTAATACGGGGGTTGGAAGTTTGTATGAAAGTCCTATGTTTTGAAGTAAGAGACTTGAAATTTAACATGTATGCTCTATGGATGGTGTAGAGGTGTACTAATAATGTATCTTTAGAAATAAACCCCCTTTTGGGGTCAAAAGTGCAAATAACTAACTCCACGCGTACGAAGTCGCGGGCGGCCGCTAGTTTTAAGATAATAACAAATATTTGATATTACTCGTCTTACAATTTTTTAATGCCCAAATTACCTCTTAGCGAATTATATTAATAATGGTTCACTGCTCATTCCCCGTAGGTGATAGCGTGATAATAATTATGTAGCCTATATGTTGACCCGACTTAATAATATTCGTGTTAACAGACAAAAAATCTTAAAACTTTATTTCTGGCTTCGGTATCGATGGTAGATTACCCCAAGATTTCTTTAAAAAAAAACAATGTACAGTTTTGACTTTCCTACCATTTTATTATATGTATAGATTAATTTATTTCAACACTATTACTTATAAATACAGTCAATACTAACGCAATAGGTATTGCTTATAAAACTATACACATTCCAACACCATACACTTGAGGAGTTCGATGGCGCAAGTCGTTAGCGAGTTCGGCTGCGCTCGTTGAAGTTAAGCATCTTTCGCAGTGGTCGGTCATTGGATGGGTGACCAAAAATTTATTATCTCGATCTCTTCCGTGCTTCGGATGGCACGTTAAGCCGTTGTTCCCGGCTGCATCTGCAATCGTTAGCACCCACCAATCCGCACTGGGCCCGCGTGGTGGGTCGTGGCCCAACCTCCCTATTCCATCCATAGGGAAGGACTGCACAAAATATCCTTTGATTCCTTGTAGGTACTATACACAAAGTCAACTTCGAATTTCAGCTTTCTTGTTGTAAGTGCTTGGTCTGAGTGTTGATTTCTTTGCCGACCTCCGTGGCCGAGTGGTTTGTACGCCGGGGTTCATGGCGTCGCCGACTCGAGAGGTCCCGGGTTCGAATCCCGGTGGGGGCAGATGTTTGTGTGATGAACACGAGCATTTGTACTCCAGTCATGGATGTTTAATATGTATTTCTATATAAATATACTTATATATGTAAAGTGTATTCTATCCGTTACCCTAGTATCCCATAACACAAGCCTTTCAGTGCTTACTTTGGGGCTAGGCTAATTGGTGTGAGTGTTGGAAATATTTATTTATTTATTTATTTATTTATTCTTTATCCCCAGTATTAGTAAAAATTCCTTTTTCCATGTTATCAGACGATTTTTTTAAAATTTTATTGTTTATAAATTGAATCCTCATTTTACCTCTTTATCGATTGAATTTCATAAATCCAAAGGGAACCAAAAAAATTTGTATTCTGCCTAGGGGTTACCTTTGGACCTTTCTTATTTCTTTGTACACGTAAGTATTTATTATCTGCCAAATTTTTGCTTTCTTTTTTCCTATTTTTTGTAGACACATTTCTTCTTTGTGCGAAATTTTAGCTTTTGAAGTTCAAAATATGGGAAATAATAAGCATGATTTTGCTAATCAGATTTTACCCCTAAAGGATTGCTTTTGGAAAAAATACGAAATAGGGTACGTGTTTTGTTAATTTATATTTAGAATCCTAAATATAAATAAACAAAACACGTACCTAAATGTAAAAAGTAGTAATCACTACTTTTTATATTTCGAGTCGAAATAGTAAATTTTTTGTCGTCGTACAAAGTTTTGAACCCCAAAATTAAAATTAAAAATTAAATTCGATTAACACCTTTATTTAGGATTTGATTTTCAAAATATCTTTGTTATTCCTTGTATATGTACAAACTAGCGCTTTTCATTTTATATCATTGAAGAAGATCATATTGAATTGGACATTGTAAATTGACAAAATACTAATTAATATCTTGCATTCCCAAACTGGATAAATGTGTCCTGTGCGCCTCTAATTAATACATAATAATTTTTATGTACCAAATTCTTTTCTAAACCTGTTCATTATATACAATTTGCTCAAAAGATCTCTTTCTTTCTCACCCTTTTCCTAACGTTTCTCAATAAATTGCCACACGTGCCTACATGCCAAAGAGAGCAAATCATTGCACTCGTATTATTCGATCTCGACACTTTAGCGAAACAATGGTTTCGTGTATGTTGCGTTGAGTTAAGCGTTTGATGAACGTGTTTGCATGTTTGCAAAAAAAAAATCTAATAAGAGATCGTCTTTTGTCTAAGTACTTAGCAGATTTTTTTCATTGAAATTCAATAAATTATTGTGAGCGTGTACCTAACTGCCTACATGTTTAAAGGCGTTTAATATTATGGTGGCAATGTTTTGGGTGTTTCAGTGAGTATGCAAGTAGCTCTATGTAACCATAAAAACCAAGGCTAGGAAATAAATGTCTGCTTCATATCGTAGCAATGAAATCCCTACAGCGTACCCACGCTTGAAACCCTTAGCAATAACACATAAAGATAGCAACCGACAAATAATTTTATGGTTACTTTGTTTTTGTCGCTTCGTATTGATGTTAAGCTAGTTTAAATAAAAAGCTATATTTTATTGCAAATCAACAGTGCCTAATATAATGAGCTGCAAAATAATGACATGCCATTTTGAACTTGCAACTTCATTATTTAATCTTAATTCTACTCATTAACAAAATATTTTTGTGATTGTAAGTTAATGAATTGTATGTTGTGCACCAGACATTCACAAATTGTCTTGTGTGACGCATGCACTAATTAAACACGATATTGCAGAGAAATGTTAATGTATTGCTTATATTGTAGCAAAATATTCAAACAACTAGTAATCTTTTATCTTGTTCATTGTTTGTTGAAGATTGATTAAGGGCGAACAAAACGAAATTCCCGATAACAAAAGACGAATTGTTGTGTTAGTAACGACTAGAACTATTATATATATTTTATACCTCGTGAGGTTATATAAGTGAAGCGGCAGCTGCTACCTTTCTCAGGTTTTCAGGAATAGAGCTAATTTACGGTACATTTCCTAACGAACGACAAAATATAGTCGTTGTACAGGAAAACTCAGTAAATCGAAATTAGTTGACCATACAAACGGACTCTGTTTTTCGTCTGCAATAATTCTTTTATGTTTTTTTTTATTTGCATTAATCGTTTGTGTGAAGTAATTATTGTTAAATGAATTGATACATTGACGGATTTTCGCAGACGAATACTGATTTGTATTATTATGAACTCATTTCGATTAACTGGATTTCGCTGTACAACGACGGTACATAGTTGTATAGGTGATGATGGTTGGTACTCGAGTTGTTTTCTATCTTATTTTGCACACCTTTGATGCTCGGTCACGTCACACGTTACGAGACTTGGGTAAGGGGATATGATAATGGCGCTGGGATGTGACGCTATTGCGCTATGATATTTTCGCCCTGTGTCAACGGGAAAGTGGGTACAGCGTGATAGGTGGTAAAAATACTATTACACTACACCTGCAAGGAAAGTGCTTTATTCTTGTTTGAAAAATAAAGCAGAAAGGAGCTCATTCATGTTGTAGTAAAGCGGGCCGAAAAAGCGCATGGAAATCCATTTTCAACGCGCTGAGCGGACAGAAAAGTCTATGGAAATTCATTGTTAAGTTGTTGTTTTTCTTTTGTTTCTTTTTTTATTGTATGTTTCGAATAGTGGTTATTACGATTTTGTAGATTTTGCCTTTTTCTTTTTAAATATTATACTGTATGCTTTCTGATTTAATTTTGAAAAAAGAACAAAAGTAAAGCGCTTGTTACTTTATTTTAACTGAGTTTTTAATTAATTTGTTTTCCTATCTACTCGAGACGGTGTATATTAAGCTGTTATTGTGAAACTTTACCCGTGAAATGAAGAAACCAATATAAACCGCCCATGCAAAAGTTTTGTAACTGTAACAACTTTAATATAAATTTCAATAAAGAATTCATCTTTTATTTCGTCGCAGGTATAGTATAAAGTACTATGTATCACGCGAAAGAAAGTGCTATTCCCAATTCGAGTGTATTAAGGCTTGGCTGCGCCTCGGGCCTTAAACTACACCCTCGTTGGTAATCGGTCACTTTCTCCTCTCGGTGAACAATGTACTATTCCGACATTAGGGAGCAAACGGGTGCAATATCAATATTATGAATCGGTTATTGCCAAAATTTTCACTGATAAGAAATATAATTTAGATGACCATGTCTTGTAACTCATTAAACATGTAGTCTGTCTTTCTATCATCAGCCTATTAAAGTGCGCCCTGCTGGGGCACAGGCCTTCCCTATGGATGGAATTGGGAGATTTATGCCATGACCCACCACGCGGGCCTAGTGCCGATTGGTTGTAGTCTGATAAATGGAAATTAATATTTGTATTTATAGCTTTTAGTTTTGATTAAACTTCTCATTGACCTATATTTTTATCTGCACAATAATTCTGTCGATTGAATGCGTCAGCCACAATCACGATATCAAAACTGCATACTGATATAAGGGAATGTCGAATTCAGCAAGAATGATGTTACTCAACACAGTATTAACATAAAACAAACGCTGCCAGACTCCTTCAACCATAACCGATGGACATTTGTTTGTTAATATTATTCAAATTTGTTATCTATTTCACAGGAAATAGAGGCTATCGAGGAGCAATGGAGGACAGAGTCTGCGGAGTTGGTGACAGCGGTTGGGCGGCTCCAAGATGAGAATAAACGACTGAGGCGTACCATCAATGCTCCCGCGGACGGTGAGTCAAACGAAAACAGATCCTATCTTGATAGCGGTAGTGATTCTATTTGGTTGTTAAGTTCATTATCTTTATCTGCTATATAACATTGTACCTTCTGGTTTTGACGTTACTGTTATGAATATTGAAAATATTGAAAAGGCGGTCGATGGGAGAATGAAGGTAACGCTATAGGATATAAATAGTTATATAGTCAAATTTGATTGGTGCGAACTTTCTATTAGGTATGTTACACGACTGTCCAAAAAAGAGTATAATGTTTTCAGGTTTCATGTATGTATGTATAATTCTTTGAGCTCGAGGAGCTCGATGGCGCAGGTTAGCGCGTTCGGCTGCGATCGTTGAAGTTAAGCAACTTTCGCAGTGGTCGGTCATTGGATGGGTGACCAAAAATCTTCTATCGCGAGTTCCTCCGTGCTTCGGAAGGCACGTTAAGCCGTTGGTCCCTGCTGCATCTGCAGTCGTTAGCACCCGCCAATCCGCACTGGGTCCGCGTGGTGGGTCATGGCCCAATCTCCCTATTTCATCCTTAGTGAAGGCCTGTGCCCCAGCAATGGGGACATTTATAGGCTGATGATGATGTACAATTCTTTATTCTACCATAACTTTTAAACACATGAAACGATTTAGATGTATGTAGTATCGTTAGAATCCTTTCACCGTTCCAGGTTGCAAAGGATACAAATAATTATTTTATATTTTTTTGTCAATCAAAAGAAACTAATCTTCTAATAAGTATCGTTTGAAAGGTCTTAATGTGACCATATCCAATATATGGGCGATTCTCTGTATGCTAATTTCTTTGGAAATAAAACACAATTTTTATGCAAGTGTTAAGAAATATTGCCAGGTCAGCATTTGTATGGGACCTGTACGAACTTACAGAGAAATACCTATACATATGTTATAGGTACTATCTTCGCATTAATAAACAGGTTTACCTGTAAAACGTGGTAAATAATTGAAATTACATAAAATCCATTACTTCAAGCACATATTTAATTTACAAGGCACTAAAAACGATTAAAATCAAATCAAATAATTAAATAGCATGACTGCCTCGTCAGCTTAGGTGAGCTGGAGTAAAAATTATAATGCCATCGATTAAAATTTGATTCATTATCAAGAATACATTCACTAAAGTACGTATTGAAGTTTAACCGAACTGACTCAATAGGCGATTTCTTTTTGCGTTTGCCACTTATTTTTTGTGTTCCTTCCAAAAGTTTTATGGGGTAGCTGTGTTCGAAAGGATAATAATATTTATATTTCAGTAAAAGTTGTTAACGGTTAAATGTCACGATTCACGAATATACCTACTTAATGTATCTGAAAAAAGAACTTTTAGACTACTTCAACTCCCTGGTCTGTCTTCTAAAAGTCTATGTAACGTTTTTAGTTGTGTAGAAGTTGTAAAACTTGTGATATTTTAATAAAATTTCAGATTACGATAATAGTATATGAGTTATAATCACACTTACTTTTACTTAGTTGCTGATGTAAATAATAATAAAATAAAAGATGTAGGGTCAAGTGGGGGATAGTGTAACAAGGGGCACAGTGTAACATAAGGAATATCTTTGCCCTTTTCTTATTTGTCTATGATCTGTCTATAACGTGTTTTATGAGTTTCAAATACCGCCATCTTAAGCAGCTGTAATCAGAATTCAAATGGTCCGGTTACACTTTCCACCACTTCACTCTACCTATTTCAAAGCACGCTGGAGTAGTACCATTACAATAGTGTCTGGTTCGAATACCAATTGAGTCAGTGAGTATAAAAGTGTAAGTATAAACTTGTGTAAATGAAAATGTTATATGAATATAAGTTCATGATCATAATTATAAGCATATTCATGTCCTCACTGCAGGGGCACAGGCTTTCCCTTAAAATGGAATAGAATGGGCTGTGGTGACTCACCACACGGGCCAAATGCTAATTGGTGGGTGCTAACGACTGTAGATGCAGCCGGGCTAACGGCTTAATGTGCCTTCCGAAGCACGGAGGAACTCTAGATAATAAGTTTCTGAACACTCATCCAATAGCCGACCATTGCTAAAAGTTGCTTAACTATCGCGATCGCAGGCCGATTCGCTAACCATGCGCCATCAAGCTCCTTAGTAATTTATATTACATCATTCTAAATAAATAACTCCACCTGATGCATAGTGATAAAGTTTATAAGTGTAAAGAAAGATAACTTAGCAGATCCAGTCCGTGGTTTTATCTGAACTGTGCCTAAAACGAGATAATTAAAATAGCTCGGCTTATCTTATATTACTTAATATGTACATGTCTGTATGCATGTACAGAATCTCACAAAAAATATCTAATAAATAATGTATGTCCTTGTACTCTGCACCTGATTTGGTTTAAACGCAGCGAGTGTGAGGTACAATCAACCCGAATAAAGTAACAACACTAAAGCACCTTATGTAATAGTGATAAGATTTATATTGCAAACGGAATGGCAGTTATTTAGCATTTATATTCAGTGAGCACTTTTGACTACATCGTCTATCCCAGTCTTAGATGGAAATTTAATATTGGGAAGCGTTTACTGACGTGCCGGCTGGTTATTAATATTTGACTGGGCTTTATAAGTGATGGATAAAGTGGAAACTCACTCCTATCTTTATTCCTTTTTTTGTATTTTCCCGAACAACAAAGAATACTTCGAGCTTATTGTGTAATAAAGTCGTTATTAGAATTTCGTCCATAAATAGTCATATTGATGATGAATACGAAGATATTTTTCTTTCTTGTCGAAAATAGAATTCGTTGCCTAACACGTGTTTTCTCTTTTTACCCTCCCCTCTGGATTTCCAACATTGAATATGGAAAATAGCTGTAAAGGTTATAACGCTGAAACCTTTTTATAACAAGTTAAAAAAAATACGAATGCTTTAGATCGATTAAAATGGTTATTCACCAACTCGACACATTATAATCGGGCCCAGACATTTGCGACTTGTGTAGGTAGGTACTTAGGTAGTACATGCTTGTACACAATATTATGTGCAATTATGATTTTTGAATTTACGAAAGTTTTTATCAACAACTGTTTTTATCGACTTTTTTATCATTAATATGTTATTGTAAGATGTCACATACAATTCGCCATCGAATTACACCTCGTCCTTAAGGCATGTCACGTGAACCATTTTTCAAAATTTTACTTATACTACCAAAATACAACTCAATAATAAAAAAAAACACAATAATATACCCTGCTTTTAAAAGGTGAGATGCTAAAAGCTTTGCCATTGTTAGTTATTTTGAGAGCATTATTTTTCCATCCCAAAATAATACTCCGGTTAACCGTCATTGGCGAATCACGATCAATAGTTCGGTGTCAGAATAGAATAGGTAATGGGGACGTGGAGTGTTGAAAAAAGTGAAATTTTATTGCTTGGCCAGTAAGAGAGGTAGGGCATAGCGGATTCTCCGCTCGAATTAGAACGCCTGTCTCTGGAAGTAACCTTCACCTTACAGAAGATAACATAAATATAACACTACCTTTTGGTGTACGGCCGACCGAGTAAGGCCCAGGGCTCCACGGGGCGAGGGATTGGGTCAGGGTAAGCAACGGTGCGGGTGATATTTTTGATATCGCAAGCGTCTATACTATAGGCTATGGTGGCCGCTTATCAGCAGGCGGGCCATACGCATTTTTCCACCCTTATAATAAAAAAAGTAAGACGTCAGACGCATTTATGCCACCCTTCTAACATAAAAAAGTACTGACATAAAAAAGTAATAAAAGCTCTATTTATAAAATAAGTAGCCTAGCCAAGTTTGCAATCTTTGATGCCAATAAATACTTAACATTTACAGAGATTATTCCTCATAATCTATTGTACTACAATGGATTTTTCTTGGCAAGAGATCTTAAATGATTTTAATATCTTGATTATTATTATGAGTTATAAAATATGATGGGCGCGGGCGGACGTGGCTGTCTGAATGTAACCACATTGTTTGATTGGCACAGGAACTAGCGCTCCTCCTTCACCAGCCAGGGAACACGACCAGGAGGTGCTCTCGAGGCTCAGCAGCACCGCGGAGAAGCAACGAGCCACACTGCGCCACCAGGAGCTGCAGCTGCAGGAGAAGCAACAGGTCATAGACGGGGTAAGTGGTCTTGCTTTAACTGTATTCAATATATAATTCAATCCTTCTTTAGATGGAGCCAAGATGGTTACCAAGTGAGCGCATGTCTATGTTTGGTATTTTTAATGTTGAGAAAACCCTAATCTTTCTTCAGGATAGGTTAGGGTTTCCATGCCCATAAAAGGAAGATTTAAATTGTATTTAATATAGCAGAAGCGCTTTGCGATTCATATTATATACTTTTGTCTAATATCAAATCAGTTATTCTCTTTGCCTGATCGTTTTTAAACGAATTTATGTTCGTTGTTGATGTTTTCGCTCTCACATTCTTCTTGCCACTCCTAAGTTCGGTGCTTATTTTGCTATTTATTATCTTCTGTCTTCTACATATTGTCGTTAAATATGTTATTCTTTCGCGTCACGCCTTTAGTCTCCCCGTCACATATAAGTAATCATGTCATGGCATGTAATTTTTAACTTAGTACACTGAAAAAAGTTTTGTGTTACATAAAAAAAATTGTTACCTAATTCATAAAAATAGTGACTACATAACTATAGTCACTAGTTGAAAAAAACTTACTTATTAAAATTTACAATACCATTTTGTTCATTCTTACACTTGTTCAGTAATTGGTTACAAAATGATTGCTTCAGTATAGCTTCACTATACTGTAATTACTTTATTTTTTCTCTCACATAGAATAACATAAACATAATACTGTTATTTGTAACAGAACTATTTTGTTATCTGCAACATAATTTTCTGATGAGTTATAGTTGTTTATTAGTATCATCTGCAAAAAATACTTTTCTACTTTAAACCCTGTGTAATACTTTCTAGTACTTTCTAACAAGTAAGCACTGGACTGGGGGTTAACAGGGGATTGGTGTAATCATAATAACCTGGTTCCCAATTTATTTTTAAATACAGGTTTTATAAACTTTCCTTATATGTATGCACAAAACAATTTCCATAGCGCGATTCAGCGGATGTGCCGTACATTTAACAAAAAACGTACTTTCAATCTGTAACCGAACTTTTTGGCTACCAGTCACAACACTTTTCAGTTTTTCACAGAGGTTTTTGTGCTTGCTAATAAATCGCAGAAATTAGTTGTAGTTACACCAACTCTATGTAAATAATCACTTCAAGTGTGCTTGATCATAACAATACATTATTATGTTAAAGATTATCAAAATCGAATTTGACAGCTCATAACAAAATGGTTTAATAGTTTTTACCTAAACTCGATTAACTGAAATGATAACGTAAAATGCAACAGAACAGTTGGTCTATGAGTGACTGAAATTTATTTATTAGTAAACAAAGTTTGGCTATTCATCGGTTAACTCAAGTAGTTTAGTAAATTATTTTTTTTGTGTACGCATAGATCTGTCTTAGTACTGAGAACTGAAGATTACTCCGAACACGACACGCAATGCGGGTAAAGTATAATCCATTCGATTTCACAAACCAAAGTATGGCATGTGCAACTACGTCTGCCTTGGTGAAAATGTTTGGCAATCACCAGTTTACTTGGCTTTAGTTGGAATATTTTCTCCGCCTAAAGTCGAAAAACCATTTGAAAACCCAGATTTTATCTACTCGGAAGTTACTTTATAAATATCACATTCTTAAATTCGGTGAAGTGAAGTAATAAAATGTTATCTGAGAGTTCTGTATAGTGAACATGTTTCACTCTGATGAAACAAATGCTATCTTTCGATTATTTGCAGTCTTTGTGTCTCGCATGGGAACTAACATACGGTACAGACACAGCATTGATACCGACCGAAATCGAATGCGTTTCCGAATGTTTGTAAATAAGACGATTGACCTGATCGACTGAGTGACTGTTTACACTCGCACGAACGTTATCACAGTTATTGGAATAGGATATTGACCGAAGTACTCGAACTCTTTAGATAGATAGCAAATACACGTTGTAATTTTGTAGTGCACACATATGAATGGATGAAAAAGCAATATAAGAAATAGATACGTGAAAAAATCGGCCATGAAATATATTTAAGCAGCAGGAAGGAATAATCCAAGGCTCAGCTTTATCGTCTCTTCTTTTAGCGATAGACCGTCTTTATGTTACTTTTCCAGTTGGTTAGATACATATAATCTTAAATGATACATGAAAAATACATCACACCTAGCGTTACCATCCGTCCGGATTTGTCCGGATATGTCCGGATTTTTTGGCTTTTGTGCGGACTTTGTACGGCTTTTTAATTTGTCCGGATTTCTTAAATTAGATGGAACATGAGTAAAAATACTTATTAAGTTATATCATATAAGTCAAATAGTCTTTATTAAGTTCTCATTAATTTAAAAGAAAATATAAATTATCTTCAAAAATCAACAACGAGACCCCCCTCGCGATGCGAGTGTCTGCTACCATGCGTATAATATCACTGTAACTAAGTGGGTGATGTTTGCTTTTTGTGACAAAAATGTTCGGACTTTTGTCAGGACTTTTCAAATTTTTAAATAGTAACCCTAATCACACCTCAACATCAGCATATTAATGTCCCCACTGCTAGGGAACACATATTCCTTCCATATAGATGGAATAGGAATATGGGGCTATAATCTATCACCCACGCGGGCCAACTGTGGATTGATGGTTACAAACGAATGCAGTTAAAATAGGGATTAAAGGCTTAACGTGCCTGCCGACGCCCGGAGCAAATAATACATTTTTGGTCACCTAATTCTATATTCATATGAGTGTCTATTATGATAGTTGTTTAACTTTTACGATCATAGACTGAAGGCGTTTACTACAGCGTCTTAGAACTTTATTTCATGTCTAGAAACTGCTTGAACATGCGGATATGCGAGACTTCACCCCGCTTCTTTCGTCCAGCTCCATGGCTCGGGAAATGTTTATTGTATATGAGTGTCTAATTGTAGAAATTTTGCTAAATCTCAATTAAACTTAAACTAGATTAGGCCATATAATAATGAAAAATTGGACATTGTAATTTTGCCATTTTTGTATAGGTACTCTAGCTTTATTTGAATCGAGATTTATAGGTAGACCGCTTAACTGAGTTCTCGCCTGTGGGGTAAAGGGTGTGGGGGAGGACGAGAACGGGGGCCGTGAGCGGTGCGGGCGGCCGGCGCTTGTATGTAATTTTGACAAGAATGTGCCTGCCGCCCGCACCTCTCACGGTCCCCGGAGGACTCAGTTAAGCGGTCTACTTATAGCAAATATGCTGCAAGTGGGTATAAGTAATAGGATAAATTTAAAGGAGATGGTTCAAAAGTGGTAGTCTTATCCGGCAGCGAAGAAACATATATCATTTGAAAGCTGGTTTTATATTATAACATGAACTTTTGAAATCATAAGGATTTTAAAACGTTTATATAAATTGAACAATTTTGTAAGAATGCCAGCCACCCTCTCATAAGTTACGTCATACGCGAGGGAGGACTCAGTTAAGCGGTCTACTTATGCCAAATATGCTGCAAGTGGATCTAAGTAATAGGACAAATTTTAAGATGGTTCCAAAAGTGGTAGTCCTATCCGGCAGCGATGAAATATATATATTTTGAAAGTTGTTTTATAACATGAACTTTTGAAATCATAAGGATTTGAAATCGTTTATATAAATTGAACAATTTTGTAATAATGCCGGCGTAAGTTACGTCATATTTTTAGCATGTGGCAGCTTATAATGTCAACTCAATCACTATGGTAAGGCGCTTTGCAGACGACGGGGCGGGGCGGGCCGGTCAATTTCGCCGCGAATAATAGCACAAAGTGAATCCTATACTTCAAACGCACACAGCGGTCAAAAAGACCGCGCCTTGGGTGCCCGGCGGGCACTGGCGGCGCGGCATGTCCGCGGCTGCCCGCCGTGGATCATACAAACCAGTTTATATGCAGTAACGCAGACAGCGGCGCGGGGCGGTCATGGACTATTCACTAGAACGAACGTCCTAAACTGACCGCCTCTGCCCGTCGTGTGCTTTGTGTACGCGGCGCGGGCAGCCGCAGACGTCGACGTTCAGACGCGGTCTTTATTGTTTCGCGGACAAAATGCCCGCCCCGCCCCGTCGTCTGCTCAACGCCTAAATGTTATGATCAGTCATGTACGATATTCGTAAAATCGTAGTGAACATATTATACCAATTAATGATTCATTCTTCTAGAAATAAAATATCCGCAAAATCCTTCATAATGAAATAAAAGATGAACAGAATAATTATCACTGCTTTGTTTACATATTAAATATCGTCGATATTATTCTATGCAATCTACTATATTTAAAATGTAACCAAAACATTTGATGCTTTGACAATAAAAAAATGGAAAAATAAACTTGCCATTTGCCAATCTATAATTATAAAATATCCTATTGTAATAACTATTTAAAAAAATGGTGACAAAATAAATTCTAGTTTCTATTTACAATTAAGTGCGCTACCTCTCATAAATTTAAAGTCTGCCGGAGACTCACTACCACTCTCCATATAAAGTTGAACCGTCTCCTTTGATTTTCATTTGTTTTTATTAAGACTAACCGACTTAATCTCCGTTCACTTAGTTTCCCGCAACTTCCTAATTTTTTCCCGTGTGAACATCAAAGTATTAAAAAACTTTTTAAAAAAGATGAATCAAATCGGTAAAGTCGTTCTTATGCTAGGGCGTGACCAAGGGAATTAGAAATAGGGATTCATTTTTATTTATAAAGAAGATATCTCCAGTGGCCACAATTTAACCGTTCCTAATCTTGTCCACGTGAAACAGACCTCTGTCACAGCACTAACATTTTAACGAATTAAGTTCAACGAAATTAAGGTGACGACGACCGCCCGGCGGCTTCGGCACAAAATAGATAGTACAGAAGGTAATCTTCATACAAAGTGCGCTCGAGCAACTTACGCATAGACGCCGCTCATGGGCACGCTATCTCGGATCACTCGGGAGTAGGGTTACTATTTAAAATTTTGAAAAGTCCTGACAAAAAGCCGGACATTTCGATAAAATGCCGACATCACC